AGCTAATTATATTTAGAATCAAAAGCCCAACAACTATTTGCAGATAAATTGTATGAATTGAAGTGAATAGATCTGAATATTAAGATTCATAGATTTAGCAGATGATTTGTTAATTGGAATAAAAAGGTCATTTACTAGCCAATTTAACAATAGATCAATTGGAATTCTATTTATTATTTAACTGGTAATGCTTAAGAATTGAAATAATTAATAATCGCATTATTGTCATGATATACTTTTCTGCTAAATGACAAAAATATGTGAAAGTTATGATCGTGTTCTTTTTATATTGAATCTAAAATCAATGTAAAATATATAGCGAGTGTTATTTCCAATATATTTCAAACTCTAGGAATTATGATCTGAAAGGCGTATAGTATGTAGGAGTTAATGTTCGATTCCAGGAACCTCTGAGGAAATATATTCAGTTTTTACTGTGTAAAGGTAGAAAATTAGTATGTAAATAAGATCATCTGCAAATGAAAGAATAATTCCAAATCTTTTCCAACAAAGTATAGAAATATTGGATTCTAATTTTACTAGTTCCTGATGCAGACAAAGGTTTTGGTAAGGGGATGTTGCATAGCCAACTGAAGACTCAGATTGCTTCTTGGCCTGCAACTATTACTGAAATGTCCATGGTTTCACTTTTTCTTTTACGATGAAAGAAAACGTTAAAATTCTACTTGTTTTGCTATCTTGATACAATATTTAAGAACTGAAAAATTATCAAGTAAATCGCATACTAGAAACATTTTCCCTTAATAAAAAAAATATAGTTGTAGACTTTGTACACTTTGAAATTTGTGTTGATGTTTAAAATGTTGCTTGAAAAAACATTAAATTACAATTGTTTAAAGTTTATTATGACAAAATTAGCTCTTAATACCTTGCTAAGTATTTGAGAGAAAATGTGTCTCTTGGTCCTTCTAAGGTTAAGGACAGATTTAAAACAAAACTTTCTTTCTTTCCCCCCCAAAACTTAGCAGGACAAAAGGAAACAATTCTTTCTGAACCAGGTTAGGCGAATGTAATAAAATAAAAACAAAATGCACAGAAACACATTCAAATGCATTTGTTTTGTCATTATAAATTTGAAAAAGTGATTGTTGACAAGACCAGGAAATAAGCTGAAGTTAAAAATAAAGTCCTCCTTTGGTCAGCATGTTGGATAAATTCAAAGACTCTCATAAAATAAACATATTTTAAAAAGTGCTTTGAATTTCACTGAGTAATTTCTGGCCAACAGAAATTACAGTTGTATCTTCAAAGTTTATTATATGTCAGATCACTGATCATTATGCAGAAGGAATAAGTTAAATACTCAGTACTTTAACCTGTTCAGTTACCAAAATGCAAAAATAAACATGATAATTTCTCTTTAGATTTGCTATTTGATAACTTTCTGACATTCTTCTGCAATTATAAAATATTTAGGTTTGATATTATGGAAGGTTATGTAAATTATTCCTCAAGAAAACAACAGTATAAACCACTAAATGCTTTGGCAAAAGGTTCTTGACAGTATTTATTAAAATAATACAAATTTTGTGTCCTGAATCACATGATCTGAAGCATGTGTATAGAATTAAGATGTCCCAACATCTTGGCACTTTTCTTAGACAATGTTTAAGTGTAACGTTTGAATTCCTATAGTTTAAGAACAAAACACTTTATGTCAGGTAATTGTTATTGCATGAATTTCCTTGTTTTTCTGCAGCATTATTAAGAAAAGCTGTCCATACTTCACCATGTTGTTACATGTGTCTGTCTGCTGATTATAAAATGTGTTAAACAGTATTTAAAAAACAAAAAAATGCAGAGCCGCGCTTTGATTTATTCAGTGAACAAAACATATGCTCGCTGTTCTGTTCTATGTAATTCATATGATCAATAAAATTATCTTTAAAAAGAGCAACTTTGGCAGTTAGAAGGATTATACTGCTGAACAGGGAAAATGATTTACTTCTGCTTTATGCAGTCAACTTCAATGCTGTTGAACCAAAAGGTGTTTTTTGGCTCACTGATGTATTGTTAATGTATTTGTTTATTATTTTTAATCTTTAGGATAGAAGCTGTATATTGTGGTTGCTATCCACTATGTCCTAACGCTTTGGTGTATCCAGAAATATTTCCAGGTAGCTGCTTTAATGCACATTCTTTTTGTTGAAATTTAATACATGATTCATGTAAAGTTTGAGAATAAACTTAAGCAAAAGCAATTGTTTATTTGGCAAGCCAACATGTTAGTGTTAAGAAAAATTTTATGTGTTTTAATACATTAGACTAAGTTTATATTTACCATCTGTTCTTTCAAGATAACACAAAAGCAAGTTTTGAAATAGCATTCTTCATTGTTAGCATACACAACCCATAATGATACATTTTTATAAAAAGGTCAGTGCTGCTGCAATGGCTTGCAGATTTTTTTAATGATATACAGAGAGAAAAATAGAGGCCTGAAAATCACACCAAATTATTTAAACAATTTAATACTTAATAATATGCAACTGTGGTACAGGATACACACTAATATAGTACCAGTTCTTTGAAAAAATCTCATCACTAAATGTATCACATATGCATTGTGTTACATTAGAATAATGTATTTTAATCACCCAAAGGAGATGTCTAAACAGCACAACTACACAGTCTTATTTAGCATTAAACATCCTTGTGAGCTGAGGTAACCTTATAAAATCATGCTTAAATAATGTAAAACACGAGGCGGCACAGAGCAATATGCATTTTTAATTAGTAAAGTGACTAATATCGAGTGTGTGCTTTGAGGTTTTTGTTTCATTAAAAATGTATCTGTTTTTCCTGCAGCTGAATATCTGTATTCTACACCTGAACAGCTTTTTAAAAGGCTTCAGAATTTCTGCAAGAGACCAGATATTGTAAGGAAACATCTCTATAAGGTAGGTGTTCAGAATAGTTTTACAGGATATAACGCCATATTGAAGTACAAAGAAAAAAACTTAAAAAAACAACAACATTTAATTAACATACTAATGTTTAAAGGAAACATGCTAGGGAGGGATATTAGTTGTTACACTAACAAGGATTAATTAAACTAGATGCCAGTTGTATTAACCTAGGCCTTATGAAATACATACTCTTAATGCATGCTACATGCTTTTTAAAAAATTTATTGTTTTCTAAAATGACTGTCCTTTACATTTGGACCCAAGAGGCTTATAAAAATGAACCTGGATTAATGTAACTCATTAGTTTAAAAGGAAAGTAAAAGAAAGATCCTACAATTATATTAATGAGGATAAACCTACCTTACTATCATAATTTAATCTGCAGTCTTCAAGAAGTCAAGGTGAATGACATCAGGTAAGTTCCTTTTGCCCCTCTTGGAATTATTTTGGCAATTATTGTGAATATTTAACTCTTTGTACTAAAAGTTTAAACGAAGTAAAAGTTAACTCTTAATGTGCATATAATTTCTTATATGAAGAATTGAGAAGAAAGTTTACTGAAAGCATCATTTACTAATATTTATCCTACCATTATTCTTTACAATTATTTCTTTAAAGAAATAAAAGTTTAAATTGTTGGAATGACCAATAAAATTCTGATCCATTAGTCTATGCTAAACTTGCTTTCAGATTTTTAAGATGCATTTGTATGCCACGGTAGTAATTAAACTTTTCTTTAGTTATGTGTTTGTAGATCATGTACTGATTTTTACATTATTTCACTAATAACCTATTATCACATGGTGATGTTTTCATAACATAGCTATTATTTTTACATGTGCTAATGTGAAAATTTACAACATTGAGTGCTAAATTAGGGTTCTTAGAAGCTTCAAGTGCCCCGGGGACCGGCGCAAGGCACATTGCCTGAGTATAATAAAGGCATAACACGTAGCATTTTAAAAAGCATCTAGGTCAGTTAGGAGCCTGAGACCTATTGAAAGTCAATGGGACTTAGGCTCTTAAGTCACATAAGCACTTTTAAAAGTTTCCCCAACATCTTTAGAGGTCTGGAGGAGCATGGATGGAGGTGGCCCTTATGATACCTGTTCAACAAGGTTAGAAAGTGCTCTCTTTTTCTCTGTAGCCACCCCAGCATGGAGGTAGTAGACCTGCCAAGTAAACCTCTCCTAACCTGGGCCACTAATACTACCAGCAGCCCTCATCCCCCGTATCCCCATGCTCCTTCCACTGTGAACCAGAAAATGCCTGGCCTCTCAACGCAGTCATCACCTGCCCCCTCCCTCCTTTAGCACACCCGTGCAGGAGGAGGTATAATTTAGTCCTGAATGTACGTTTGACTTATTTTGTGACCTAAAAATAGACATTTACATAATGATACATCAAAAGAAGATGTTGTTTCTGCAGGAAACAGTTAAACTTCAAGTAAAAAAGGAGAGAACCAAAAATGCAATTTAACACCCAATTTCAAGCTCATTATCTTTCATTGTCTATTAACTTGGCAATGGTTCAGAAGGTAGCTCATAATAGTTTAAAATGCTGACTGAACACTTCCAGTATTCAGCATTACTTCTTGAGTCAGTACTATACATGGAGACTTCAAAGAGAAAACAGTCCTTAAACGTTTACCTTGACATTTCCCAATTTTTTGCGTTCAGTTAGCAGTTTTCTTTCACATGGATCTACCTTATGCGTATGGATTCCTAGCTCCTACATGAAGGGAATGCTAGGATGCTGAAAACAGAAATAGTGGCAGAACCAACATTGATACTAAAAGGGTATGATATCAAAGTATTGCACAGAGTGGGATGTGTACACAGCCCCATAAGCAAAATGCTTCATTTGCGTCCAGTGCCTCCTTTTGAAAAAACACTCCTTGGTGAATGAGTTATAAGTAAAGTGCCACCACAGAAATGGAGCAGTTTATCACATCACTTCAAGTTGCAGATTATTAACCCTGCAACTGAGTGTTTGCATGTTTTAAGCATTTGTAGTAGTTTTTGAAACAAGTAGCACTGGAAAGACTGGGAAAAAATCATTTTAGAATTACAAAAGTAGAGCTTGATCCAAAGCCTGTGACAGTCAGTAAAAAAGATTCCCTTTGACTTTAATGGGCTTTGGATCAGGCTCTGAGAATGTGAATAAAGTTCTTCCCTTTTGCACATTGACCCAAATATACAAGAATTGTTTATTTTGCAAATAAACTACCATTAAAAGGTTCTGAAAGAATGTCCACTTAGAAATGTGTTGTAAATTAAATACTTCTTAAGACACTTTAAACTAGCAGTAAACAATACCTCAGCAGTGAACTCATCTGGGGCATACACATGCTTATTCACAGATATTAGTTGCTTTTACATTTAGGAGTCCATATACAGAATGTACAGTAGGGATACAGGAAAAGTGGGAAAAGAGATCTGATATGGCAACTTGCTCCTTTTTTCTTCTTTCATAACCTTTTCTGGCATGCTCCATTACTAGAAGTTCAAACTACAGCTGTCTGTTCCTACAAAGAGACATAAAAACTCTATAAAAGCAAAAAGAATATTTTTCCTTTACATTTTAGACATTCTGTCTCATAAGTCTTGAAATAGAAATAAGCCTTTGCTTACATTTTCTGCTCATTTTTGTTGCCATTGTATTATTAAGAGTATTGAAAGTAGTCAAATACATTGCTGCATTATTCTGTCGATTTTATGCAGTGCTTGTGCCAACTTATAAAGTTAGAGGCAAAGGAAGATAGATGATACATGTTACAAAAAAGGCAATCAACTTAAAAAATTTAGGACACCAAAGGCTGTGTTCTGAATAAGTCTTGGGTGCACTGTGAAGTATAAAGTGAAGCCAAGTACCTCTGAACGCCCAAGCAAAGCTGATATCTACCAGAACACAAGACCTGGAGTGTCACTATTTGTGTTAATGGAAGTTCAAACAAGTAGTCTCCCTCCCCTCCTCCCCCCTGCCCTCCAATCCCATGAAAGCGAACAAGCTAGCACAATAGACTGTAACAGTTAACTGTATATTACATAAATACATATTTATAGTATTTTAAAAACATACATAAGTAGTGTAAGTACCTAATAAGGACTTTTCATGGTACACACTGTTTACCCTTTATACTTTAATGGCATTGAAAGCTCATTTCAACTTGAATGCTCCATCCCACAATTGATTAACAGATGAAGAGGGGATAGTTATCACACAGAATCATTTGTTAGCAATTATTTGCTCTGCTCTAGTTTTATTTAGCTAAAAGTTGGTCTTTGTTTTTTTTTGTATTCTAAGCCAGTACACTCTCAGTCAGAACTAAACAAATAACAATGGCACATCAGCTCCCAATGCCAGCTAAATGAGCTAGGCTTTCTATCAACTTCAGCTCATACAGGCAAATTCATTCATATATCAGTTTAATTGAGAGCTGAATTTGGCCAGTTTTCTGATATTACTATTATTATTTCTGTAACACCACAAGAGTACATTACATGTGTATGAAAAGATACATTACCTGATTTGTATCTCATTTACACCAGTTTAAATCAGGAGTACCTCCACTGAAGTCAGTGACATTACACTGGTGTGAAACAAGTTTAAGTAAGTAATATCCCAGTCAGGCCTACTTCCCCTGCCCTGAGTAATTTACAGTCTAAGGGCTCAATCATGCTATTTAGTAGAACTAATCGGAAAAAATTCTGATGAATCATTTTTAGTCAGGATTTGCCAATTAATCGAAAATGAACTGGTTTTTGGAAATGGTTTGATTTTGACAAACTTCTGATGGACCACAGAACCTCAAAGCTTGGGAGCTTGCACTTGCAGGGTTTCCAGGCTCCCAATTCCCTTTCAACCTCTCATGCAAGCTACCAAGAATACAGGGCTTCCTGGGCTTCCAGGCCCATCGGCTCTGGCAGCCCGCTAGCCTGGCTGATAAGGAGCTGGAGACACTGCAAGCCCTGGAAGCTGCTGAATAGAAACTGGCATGACATGATTCTTGTCAGTTTTACTGCTGCCCAGTGGTGACACTGGTCGGCCTCTTGTTAACTTGACACCAAGAGTCTGTTCAGTTTTAATACTGCTATTCAGTGATGGGCAGCAGTTAAACTGGCAAGAATCATATCAGCAGCTGCCAGGGCTTCCAGGGTCCCTACCTGGGCTGCAGCCTGCCAGGCAGACAGCCAGGGATCCTTATGAGCATATATTGTTTCTAGAATGAAATATTTAATGATTTCAGTTCTATGAAAATTTCGGAGGTTTTTTTCTCTTTGTCCCAATTCAAGGCAGAAAAAATTATGGAAATCTCAAAACCTTTCCTGGGTTGGGAAAACCATTTCCCATCCAGCTCTCCTAATTAGGCATAACTAGGTTTTGCAGGCTGAGCGGGCTTAGAGGGAGTGCCAGGAGGCATTCTGAGTTCCTTGGTGCACAAAAACCAGTCACACACCTGCACTGAGTGCAACATATACCTGCCCTCACCACTGCACAGCTGGCTAATTTCATTGCTATGAGCATGGTGTGGGCTGTTCCTGCTCTTTTTGGGGTGTCATGCATCCAAGAATAATAGCACAGGAGAGCAGAGACTTGCGGTTCTATGCAGCTCTTATATAGGTCATGCAAGAGCATGGGGAAGCTTTACTCCTGAATCATTCCTCCCCTCCCCCAGGAAAAAATAAATTGCTCGCCCACATAAAGGTGAAGGGGAAACTGTCCCGTTATGAACATAGGGACTTCAATATTGGACCAGATCTATGGTCCATCTAGTCCAGTATCCTGTCTTCAAAGCATCCAGCAGTGGAGGCCTGAGAAGGTCTAAGAACCCTGCCACAGGCAGATGTGGAATAATCTACACGTGACATTCCCACCCAAGGTGTCATACTAATCTCTAGTAGTTAGAGATTTGCTTAAACCCTGGAGCATGAGGTTTTATGTCCCTTCCCAAAACTGTAATTTACTATTATAATTCTGGATATTACTGTTATCTGAATAATCATCCAATCGTTCTTGACTCTTGCTACATCCTATGGTGATGAGTTCCACAGTATAAGGATACGCTGAGTAAAAAAGTATTTTCTTTTATTAGTTTTGAATTTTCCCACCTCTCAATTAAATTGAATGTCCTCTCGTTTTTGTGTTGTGAGACCGGGACAATAAACGCTCCCAATCTCACTTCTCTATGCCATTCATTATATATATATATACACATCATGTCCACTCTTATTTGTCTCCTTTCTAAGGTAAATAATGCCAATCTTTTCAATCCTTTTTGAAATGGGATGACCAGTACTACACACAGTATTCCAGATGAGACCATATTATCAGTTAATATAATGGCATTACAACATGTTCTGTATTATTTTCCATACCATTCTTCATGCATCCAAATATCTTGTTTACTTTTTTGACCATAGCTGAAGATTCAGAGGTCTTTAATGAGCTGTCTGCAGTGTTCACCACATCCTTTTTCCTGAGCTGATAAAGTTAATTTAGAACCCTGTGAGGTGTATGTGCAGTTCAAATAATTCTATCTCGTGCACTACTTTGCATTTTGCAATAATGAACTTCATCTACCATCATGTTGTCCATTCACCTAGCCTGGTTAAATCCCTCTGTAGTTCCTCATAGTCTTCTAATTAATTTTGTGTCATCTGCAAATTTTGCTACCTCACTACTCACCACCTTCATAAGATTAATAAAGAAATAATAAGTGCTAACTAACATCAGACCTAATATGGAACTTTGAGAAAACCCAGTGTTATCCTTTGCTGTGACAAAAATTGACCATTTGTCTCGTGTCTCTTAGCCATTTTTTGATCCATGACCACACTTTGCCTCTGACCCCATGATGACTTAGTTTTTTTAGTAACTTTTTGTGAGCAGCTTGTCAAAGTCTAAGTAAATTACAGCTACTTGGTTCTCCTTTTTCCATTACTTTAATGTCACATTCAAAGAATTCTAATAGATTGGTGAGAGATGATTTGTCTTTAGTTTCTCAGTTACTTAGATGTTCCATTGTGTTCCTTGTTAGAAATATACAAACAAGCAGGGGAAGGAGAGTGACACAGTCATGTCATTTGGATTGTTTAGGATAGACAGGCTTCTTTTTGATTCCAGGTGGTTTTATTTATTATCTGTGATATTGTTATTCTGATTTAAAAGTATTTCATGTTGTAACAATAGCAGGGAACAGATGATGCATCAGCCTGCACCCTAAAATTGATTATTGAAACGTTAACATTAATGAGGAAAGAATTACAGGCCATGCTGGTTTGTGCACTGGAAGATGTCTGGTGTACTTCGCAGATGGCTTAAGGCAGTTAGCCTCATGCCTCAAAATGCATCCAAGTCACAGACCCACTATCTGAGCACTTGTTTCCAAAGGCATTTGATGTATTTGAATGTTGAGTTCCAAAGGTAATTACTGCATTGGTCAAGTTTCTCCTCCTAGATTCTTCTCGACCTAATTGTTACTTTAAAAAAAGAGGACAAGGTGGTTTACAGGGTTTGAACTGAGCCAGTTCAAAGTGGTTTAGTGAACTGTTTTTTTCTTGAATGTTTGTATATTGTTCTTCCAATGTCAGCTTTCCTATTAAATAAACTCTAGTTCTTATAGTTGCAAAGATAATCTTAAAAATGTTAATGGAGCATAAACTGATGCAGCGCTGTCTACCTGAATCTGCAGATATCCTGAAGTAGTAGCTCTGAGAATAGGGTGAACTGGCCCTCTTAATTTGAATGAAATGTTAACTCTGAAGTCTAATGATGACAGTTTAAATGGCAATTTTAATTATTTAATTGCTGATAAAATCATACAAGAAAAAAGAGAGTACACTGTGTTATGGAAAATTACTCTTCTGCTAGTGAAATCTTGTTTTCATGCCTCCAGTGGGGGGAGTTTGTTTTGTGGGTGGAGCTTGGAAGTGTACCAATTCTTCCTGTACCCCCTCCCCCTCCAACTCAGCTATTGGTGGTTTAGAAACTTTTGGTTGACTCATATTCCACTCCTTCGCATAACAACCAGTGAGGGCCTTTGCAGTTTTATATATACAAACAAACAAACCCACACAAATATTCAGTGGTGTAATGGTACTGGCTTATCAGAACACCATAAAATCTAAACACACTTCCACTGATGTACACACAATGGAGAAGGACATTATAATTTATTTGTATCCTACAGCAGGTTGTTATGAAATAAAGGCCAAAAAATCAGGACTAGTCTGGTAAAATCAGGACTAGTATCCACATTACAGCTACTCAATCCTGTCAATTTTACTTCAAAAATATTTAAATTGTGTTCAGGGCATGTGAAAAATGATAGATTAAAAATGCTGGAGACTGAAGTCTTCCATCCACAGAACTGACAGTAATACAGCACACCGTAAACGTCCATATAATGCCCCCGCCATAGTCTTTCCTGTCTAAAGGTGGGAGAGATCGTTTGGTCTTCCTGCCCATTCAGTCCTTGGCAGCATCTCTGCTGAGACTGCCAACCACACTTACAGTTGTTTGTTGGCATGAATACTTGTCTAATAGCAAATAAACTGAGGCTGCCAAATAATTTCCTGTAGATCATTTAAAAAAAAAATCAGTAACTGAGTCACTACTGACCTGGATCAGATTTGAACCAGTGGCTGAGGCGAAGAGCAGGCATCATATCTCTTCCTTAGTCTTCTGAACTTTCCAGCCCCTTTCACATAATTTAATAGAAAGTGAGTGTTAAAAATAAGCATATTTGTAAACCAAGTTGTGCTAAACCTCATGATTGCACCATTCTTAAACCAAACTGCACAGTTCCTAATTTTGGTAGAGTGATGCTTCACCTGTGACTGTCCCTTTAAAAGTGAAATTTGTTTCTGGGGAGAGGAAATGAAATCACCACTTAAGCATCTTCTGGTTTTGTTCTGATTTAAAAATTTCTCGGTCAGACATGACGCCCCCGAAGCGCAGCAACGTGCTGATATCAGGTGAGGTCTTTGCAGCAAACAGCACTTGTTTACAAAAATGATCCATCCTGGGATTGGGAGTCTAATACTTTGATCCAATCAGAGGGCAGGATTTTCTGACCCTGGTTTACAGTAGTATTTATGCTATCTGCACTACTTCCGAATCTACCTCTGAAGAAATGAAATAATGCTATGTTAATCAAGCATTCATGTTGTTTTGTTCACACTAAGGACAGCTTTTTTGTGTTTTAGCAGCTCATGTTCCTTCATTTGAATCCTTTTCTTTTTCTCATAGGGTGAGATGGATCAGTTTTCTTGGGCAGCACTACGTGGTAAATTCAGGTCTCTGCTCACAACAGAATCTAGGGAAGATTTGTGACAGATGGGGCTAAGTCACAAACTTGCAGCCTAAGGCAGAATCTGTAGAACTTTCCAGAGTGTGCCCATATTTACCTGATCAGAGAGAAAAGAAAATCTGCAGAGGAAGCTGAGCCTGGCTGCTTGTCATAGCTGACACAGAGCCATCTGCCACAAACCTGTGGCGGCTTCAGATCTCCAATCCCTGCCACCACCCCAACTCAAATTAAATACAGATTCCTAGAGACGTTATGATGGTTACACATGTCCTCGGCATCACATGCAGGAGACGGTTCAAAAAAAATATGTGGCCTGTTGTATAACCGCACTCATGTATCCCATATGTGGTGCCACATTGAATTTCCGGTTGAATCTGTTTTTATCCTTTGTACTGGATGACATGGTGCCTGAATTCTTTCTTTTTGCCGACATGATGGCAGCCAAACTGCAGCTTCAAACACTCACACTTGGCTGAGTTTCTACCTAGGTTGCCAGGTTATCATTGGAGCCTTATTGTGTCCTCAAAGGGCCACAGGGCCTGAAAGGAGGATCAGAGTGCTACTGGACTAATTGGGCAGCCATCTACAAATTGTTTGTAGGCAAAGCACTTTTCTTTTTGCAAATTAATGACTCTCTGGCACAGGGTTTTTAAGTGAAGGTATTAATAAGGGGTCTGGCAGGTATTCCCATGATTCACAGTTACATTTGCATTTAATTAATCTTAAAGAAAGCTGCAAGATAAACAGCTGTAATTCAAACTAGCATGGGAAATATGCTACATGGTGCCATCTATCCGATAAAATGAAAGCTGAGACACTTGTTTTATTTCTCTCAAGGATGGAGAACAAACAGATAACTGTCAAAATACTTCCAATAAAAACCAATAGTTTTTATGTAACTGCAGTTCATCAAAAATCTTTGCATTCAGTTACAAATATAATCTTTTAAAGATAAATCACTTATGATTCTAAGCATTAAGCTGCTATGTTTGCTGATGTGAAATGTTTTGAAGATTTAGATTGTACAATAAATTTTTAATAAAGTGCTCACTGCAATTTTTAATTAACATATCTCATTCATGTATAAGTGTGTACATCCATCTGTATGCTTATCACTGTGCATATCCTTGTGACAGAATCAATGAATACAATTGTGTCTTTATCTGATGAATTTAGAATCTGTTTTGCAAATGATAATAAAATGTTATAACAACTCCAAGATTTTCAACTGTATTCTGGGAAGAAGCAAGAGGTAAACAGGAATTCTCGGTAATTCATTATGGTTAAAACTCTGCTAACACTGCCATCTCTTAATTGACAAATAAGCTTTAACTTCCCTCGTTTGGGGCAAGATAGCTACTCTTCCCCCACCTCCAAAAAAGCCTCTATCACCTGAATACTAATTGAGTTTTCTTCTTTAGGTTTGCCAGTGTTTCCCCCAGTTCCACAGTACACCCCAGTTCCTGCCATTCAGAGAGGAATGCACTGAGTAATATGTTTCCTTCTTAAACATTCTCCGTTATCCATACTTGTGAACTCTGAACTTACAACTCGGAAGTGGTAGTTAATCTATTTTGTTATACCATCAACCAGTGTAGTGGTCTCAGATTTTACAGTGTGAGAGATACTGTATGCATACCAGTATTCCATGTATGCTTTTTGTTGATCAGGGAAATTATTACATGACATTCTGATTGGTCACTTGTAAACATTGTGATGTTTTACTGATACCGAAGAAATGTAATTTTACAATAAGCATCTGTGCATGTATGTTTGCTTCTCCCTATTGGTACATACACTAAAATTACTGCAAACTTCAGCTTTAAACCGACCATTAGACATTTAATGCAACAGTTAAAGCTGTCATTTCATCCTGACAGTCAGTCTAGTTGTTGCTGCACTAATACTGTAATAATGCTACTTTGCACTTGTATGGTACTTTTCATCTGAGTATCTCTGCAAATATTAAATGTCACAACATCCATGTGGAGGCAAATAAGTATTTTTTAGATGGAGAAATTGAGGCATGGTGTGGTTAAATTGCTTAAAATATCAGTGTCAGAACCATCAAAGGGATCTAGGAGTCCTGATTTCCTGCTCTGGCCCATAGGCAACAATCCCCTCACACATTGTTCTGACGCCCTTGCTATCCCAAGGCATGGTATTGTGAGTTAAGAACATTGAGCCATATCCAAAAGCCCATTAAAGGCAATGGAAAGACTCCTATTGATTTCCGTGAGCTTTGGATCAAGTCCAAAGAGAGAAGCAGGCCTTAACTCTGGATGGGTTTTTTGTTTTTTTTGGTTTTTGGTTCCATCGCTGTTAATTTAATATAGTCTTTTGTATGTGATATTGTTTTATAAATGCATCTTTGAGAACTTAATTGATTCTCCACTACTGATGAAGAGTCATTGAAATTTCAGGGAGGAACAGAAGATTCTTTCTAACTGTTCAGATATTTATATACTCCCATTGCTGTAGTAATGGAACACATTGAGGTACTTTCATGGAGACCTTTTCTAGATTAGGAAAGTGGTCAAGTTTAGGTCAGACTTCACTAGCTGAGCCTGACCTGAACTCAACCTTTTTCCAAGTCTAGTCAAAATTTTAGATGATGTCACAATTTCCCTAGAACCGGTAAGGTTGTTCTTTTGAAAGAAAGTGGAAGTCCCTGTTACTTTTCGAGGCACATAAATTCTTAGAAATGTAGAACAGGAAGGGACCTCAAGAGGTCATCAATTCCAGCCCCCTGCGTTGAGTCACGATCAAGTAAGCCTAAACCACTCTGGCAGGCGTTTGTCCACCTTGTTCTTAAAAACCTCCAATGTTGAGGATTCCACAAGCTCCCTTGGAAGCCCATTCCAGAGCTTAACTACCCTTATAGTTATAAAGCTTTTCCTAATATCTGACCTAAACCTCCATGCTGCAGATTAAGCCCATTAATTCTTGTCCTACCTTCAGTCGACACAGAGACTAATTGATTTCTGCCCTCTTTATAACAGCTCTTAACACGTTTGAAGATGTTGTCAGGTTCCCCCTCAGTCTTTTCTCATGACTAAGCATGCCCAGTTTTTTTAACCTCATAGGTCAGGTTTTCTAAACCTTTTATCATTTTTGTTGCTCTCTTCTGAACTCTCTCCAATTTGTCCACCTTTCCTTAAGCGTGGCGCCCAGAATTGGACACAGTACTCGAGCTGAGGCCTCACCAGTTCCAAGTAGAGAAAGATAATTATCTCCCATATCTTATATACAACACTCCTGTTAATACATTCAGAATGATATTAGCCTTTTTTGCAACTGCAGCACATTGTAGAATCAGATTATATTTTTGATCCACTATAACCTCCAGATCCTACCACCGAGCCAGTTATTGCTCATTTTGTAGCTGTTCATTGGATTTTTCCTTCCTAAGTGCATGTCAATGCACAACTTGAAATGCTTAGTCTGTGGACAGAATGTACCCAAAAAGTTTATATGTCAGCAGATAATTAGAGAGTGTTTGTGGATCTGCATGTGCTCATTTATTCTTCGTACTAATAGGATTTAGTATTTTTAAAGTCAAAGAGAACCTGTTATGGACTAATATCCTGATTCCCCTCCTAAGAGGAAAGACTTATCTACCCCATAAGGGTTCAATTTACACCCACTTACGTCTGCAGAGAAAACTTTTGTAAATAAGGGATTCGCTCCCTAGACACCAAGAAGAGCTGTGGGGGGAGAGGCTTTCCTCCATCATTGCTTTAATTCATGGCTAGGTGCATAGGAGGCCCACTGATAGAGGATGCCTGAGAAATGTTTTGTATAATCAGCATATCTCCTAAGTGTACTAGGCCAACCCCCTTCCTGGGTAGCACCACCAGAGTTCTGGGCTATTCTGACCTGTGTCAGTCAGGCTTCCAGGCACAGTGGGTGGTATAAGGTTTGTGAGAGGCTTGAGCCAGTGCTTTTCCCCTCCATCTCCAAAGAAGAGGATTTCCACCACAAGAGGCCTGCAGCCTGAGTGCTGCTATAGTGTGAAACAATCACAAAATTGTGTTTGATGGTGTTCTTAGTAGTGTCTCAGGACCAAGGAAGAGCCAGCCATTCTGCACAAATTCTTCTAAAGCTTTTACTTTAAAAATGTTATAGATGCAAAATTTGGTTTTCAGTGCTGTAGTCCATATTCGCATGTGTAGCCTATATTTACTGGGCTACTCATGCAAGTAAGAGCTGTAGGATCAGCCCTTGCCGTTATGTATCTTGTATCTATTATTGGTTCATCTACATTGAAATAGGAACTGCGAGCTCTTTGATATAAATTATTAGTTTCATTGCAGGTCTCGTAATTGCCCTTTTGATCTTTGATGAAATGCTTTTCTGTGATGTCTTACACCAATGGCTCACCATAGATAGCTCTCTGCCACCTTCACCTGTAATACACTAGGGCTCTGAGCCTGCACTCCTTGCATATCCATTTAAGTTACTGCATATTTTGAGTGTTCTGGGAATGCAGGTTTGTTCCACAAGGAAATTATTTTTCCTTCTCCTGTCGAAGAAGAGAAACGGCTCTGTTTACACAACGGAAATTTTTGCAAAATGTTCCCGCCATTGATAGCACCAGTTCAGCCTCATGTTGGTAGCATTGGGAGCCCTGGTACGGACATGCTGCCATCCATGTTTTATACCTTGTGTCCTCTGACCTTGCTCAAACCTGTAGTAAATGAGGATGCTGGATTTGTCTATACTGATACCAGTAGGCTGTGCATATAAAAGAACAACATTAAAGTAAAAGTCTGGAGCAAATTCTGCTTCTCCATTACACCTGTATAAATCTCCAAGGGGTATGCTCTGGAGTAACTGAGGACAGATGTTATCCCTCATTTATATTTTTAAAGGCAACAAATTTCCTTTGCTCAGATCAGTGCAGACATCAAGGAACACCTTAAATTGGAAAAATTCAAGGGGAATACTACTACCCTGTAATAGACAAAGCTCATTTTTACTAAAATACTTTAAAAATGCTTCAGTGTGTTAAACTAGGCTTCATCTTCAAATGAAATTTTTGCCACAGACTTATAAAGCTTTGCAAATAAGGTTTTATAATAGAAACGCTGTCAGAACGTTAATTATAGGGTAATAAATAGCAATGCTATATTATCCTCTGATATTTCCTTACACTCCTAGTGAATATGCACAGCTGTTGTTGAAAACTGGTAATCCAGTACTATATAACCATATTACATCTAGCACTTACAACACACCCTTCATGTAAGCAGCATCATAGAGCACTTAACAGGGAGAAGAAGAGAAAGCTGCTTCTAAGTAGAAGCCTTAACTGAACAAATGAGCTTTGAATTTTAACATAAGAATCCCAGTCAAACCAGAATTCTTGATCTTGCCAGGAGAGGCATTCCAAAGGCGAGGAGCATGCCAAATACGAAGTCTTTGCTCCAGCATCATGGAGGCAGTGCTTTAAAAGCCAGCATAACTTCACGATCAATCAGGACTAGACTGAGCAATAACATCACAACCGAAGCAGGCATAAAAGTTATACAAAGCGTTTGTAATATGGAGGAGGGAGTGGAATTTTAACAAGAAGAATTAAACTCTGGAAGAGCCCCTTTTCTTCTTGATGAGCTGGGCTGGCTGTAAGAAACCAGAGAGATTTCCAGGGCCAAAAGGATGTAAGTGGGGGGTAGAGAAGGAAATCAAGGTTAAACAAGGCCAATCCGATCTAAAAATAATAGAAAGCGAGACCAGCCCCGCGGAAGTGCACGAGCCAGCTGCACTTCCGAACAGTGCCAGCGCGAAGGAGGGAACCAAGCGGGGGAGACGGGACTGGTTCCGCGCACAGATCGATGCTGTCACGCACAGCACATGCTGGAGCTGCCTTGGTTCTCGCAGGGCTCAGGGGCCGGAGCTTGGCACCCAGAAGATGGTGTGTTTTGCAAGAGATCCAGCAAAGGCGGAGGAACCAGGGCGGAAGGGAGGAAAAGATCCCCTGGCTGGGAAACGTACATGTTAGGAAGCGAAGGGCAGCAAAGACTGGTGCACTGGGGGGCGGAGCCTGGCCCTAGGTTGCCCCCAGCCCTAAACGGGCGTAGGGTCGAGTTTCAGTGCGAACCAGAGAGTCCCGAATGTGGAACGCTCCCGGGCAGGTGCCAAGCGTTTGCACTGGAGAGGGACCTCCTGCGGTCTGCCCCCAGGGCCGCCCCACCGAGCAAGGCCTTAGCGT